AACTCTCCTTTGTTTGCCGTGGCTTTGCAAATGACAGAAGACAGTAAGTAAAAAGCGTTATCAAAGTAGCAAGAAGTACAGCTGCATTGAAACATTTCTCCTAACAGTCAAAGCAGTTTGTTTTGCTGCGCAACACGCAACACCAATTTTTGACATTTCAGTAGGGTAGTGGTCGCTATTATCGGCTTCCTTTTCGGAACTGGCGACTTCACGATAACTATGGGTCGAGCAGTGATTTGTCAAGTGGCCGTACCTAACGCTCGTATGCAGGTGTTCTCTATGAGCCGACTCTATCAGGTTAGTTGAAGAGTAATGTTTAAGCAGGGTTTGCCTGACCAGTGCAGAGGACTGCATCCTGTTCCAAGAGCCCGTTCTGCCGCTGCAAAAATTTTTTACAGACCCCACTGGTACGACCCCTGTTCTGCATTCCATATCCTACCTACCATTGTCCTAAACTTTTCCACCTTTCTCAACTTCCTACTTGTACCTCAGTTTTGTCTTGAAATTGCTCACTTTCCCTCCAAAAATTGCCGTCGAGGGGGAATGAGTGGGGGTTATACAGCGCACCTGGACAGGAGTAAGTGACTCACAGGCAAATGTATGACCACCTCTACCTCCTAGTGACCAAATTCGACCCCCTCCCTCGCTGGCATCCCCAACATACGACGTGCCCTGCTTGTATTAGGTTGGCTTGTTTAAAGGCAAAAAGACTTGAACCTCGCTAGTTTCCTGCCACTACTCGGTTGCACTGGAACGCTTTTCGAGTTTTCGAGTAAAGTTCGAGTTCTTGGCTGATCCTTGAAAAGATTGGTCGATGGTCATATTCATCCTTCATTCATTTTATGCTAAATTCTAATATTTCAGTGTGTATTGTCGTGTGTCTTACTATTCCTTTCGCCTTATATGAGAGTCACGTACTGGGTCATCGTTCTGGGCTGCTTCCTCATCGTTGGTGCGACCACGTTTGCTATCGTCGCAAGGTCTGTGTACAGTCAAACTCATTCTAT